CTGCACCTACATACTCCACCTATGCTGTCCCCCGCCTTCACAACCCCGCACTGCCCAGAGTGGTGAAGTATGGTCAAATAACCCCCACGACCCACACGGTGTGGGGGGGTCCTCATCCAGCAGTAGAGTGACTCGAATAAGACGCGATACCGTGGAGAAGTTGTGGGATGAGGAGGCGACGATTATACTCACACCTATGCTGGCCCACACCTACAGTAATTATAACAATGGTCACCACCAACCCCTCCCCAGTGTTTATACTGCGGAGCTTTAGCGTCCGACTCACACGGGGCCCGCGTGGGGCTTCAGCGTCCAACTCACACGGGGCCCGCGTGGGGCTTCAGCGTCCGACTCACCTCTTCTTGCGGGGACGCTCGCCCTGCCGAGTGCAGGAGCAGCACGCTCCCATGGCGGGGCCGCTCGTCCGCACGGGGGGAGGGAGGGAGGGAGGGGGCACGAGAGGCGAGTCGAGGCGGCACAACGCGAAGGTCGAAGATCGCCCTTCGGGTAGCGACGAAGATCGCCGACGAGGAGGATCAAGATTGAGGAGGAGGAAGATTGAGGAGAAGGATCAAGATGTAGGAGGAAGATTGAGGAGAAGGACCAAGATGTAGGAGGGAGATTGAGGAGAAGGATCAAGATGTAGGAGGAAGATTGAGAAGGATCAAGATGTAGGAGGAAGATTGAGGAAGATGAGGATCAAGATCGAGGCGCTGCTTAGGGTTGTTGCGTTCAGCTCCGCTCCTACCTCGTTCCTGTACCTTGCTGTCCCTTCAAGCTGTCTTGAAAATCCTCAGAGAGCTGTGTGTTGCAAAATGCCCAGGCGTGTGCTCTCTAGGAGCGGTCAGGGACAACTCGTGTACTAGGGGATCCCGATTAACATAAGAGATGAAGGGGGTAGTGATCTACCCGCAGGGCACGACTAAGTACCTTCCTCGTCCTTATCGTATTTTGCCCCGTTCCCAGTTGCATCGCTTACTTAGATTGAAGGTGTGGCCGTCATCTAATGGTCCGCCGTCTCCCGCACATAGGAATCTCCTCCATAGTCCGGATGCGAAAAGGTGGTCGGACTCTCCGGCTATGTGCTCACTCACCACTGAAGGTGCCTTGGTTGCTAATATCGCTAGTCATCGGTAAACCGACCTAGGAGCCATTTGATTACATTCGACTCCGCCCTTCCCTAGTGGCCGATCTGGCCCAGTTCGGGCAATGGTGGGAACTTGCCCCTGCCTCAAGT